TGAAATTTACACCCTGGGGAGGGAGGAGTAAGGTAAGTGGGGAGGGATGGGATAGTGGGAGAACAAGACAGAAGGGGGTAACAATGCTCAACAAGAAATGTACTCCTTACGTTACACGTGTATTTAATCCCTCTTTAAAGCATCTTTACAACAAAATAAATTTTTTTAAAAAAATAATGAAAAATAAAACCTGCCAGTACATAGGAAAACACTTAAAAATTTTAGGTTCAAAATGCAAGCAAAATTTAGACCTACATGCTGAGCAAGAGTTAGAATAAATGTGAAGAGGCTTCTTATTAACATGATGATTCAGATATACGTAGGTTTAGGATTAGCAAGGTATTCCAGTTAGAGCTGGGTTAGGATGAGAAAAAAGATATAAGATATTGTGTAAAACTGCCACATATTTTAAGAAGAATGAATGGCATCAAAGTTAGAATGAATGAAAACCAGTGTTACTTTAAACATTCAGATATAATTTGGTTTAAAGGGTGAGATACTTTGTTTGTTCTAGCTAGGGTTAGGGAAGGATAAGCTTTAGGGTAAATTTTACTTTTACACTAAGAAGTAGAAGCAAAAAATGTGTGATTGAATAGAATCTAGACAATTTTCCTTACATTAACCATTTGGTGTTAAATCAGACGGTGATTAAGATTAGGTTTCTGATTAACCAGGGTTGAGGATAGAGTAAAGAAATTGGATAAATTAGTGGCTTGCACCTATTATCCTAGCTACTCAGGAAGCTGATTTCTGAGGATCACAGTTCAAAGATAGCCCGGGCAGGAAAGTCCGTGAGACTTTTATCTCCAATTAACCACCAGAAAACCCAAAAGCGGTGCTGTGGCTCAAGTGGTAAAGCACACACCTTGAGCTAAAGAACTCAGGGATTGTGCCCCGGCCCAGAGTTCAAGCCCCACGACCGACAAAAAGAAAAAAAAAGGAATGTGTTAAATGATAAGCAAAGCTGAACTTATTTTAGGTTCTAGGAATTCAGGAAATGCTGGGATAATGGAAGTACAATTTATTTCATAATATCAGGAATTGAGATCAATGGGTATAATGATTGCTGTTATGGAACAAGATACATTCAGAATTAAGAGTGAGAAAATCTGTAGGGTTTACAGAAAACCTGAAATTTATTTCAATAATTACAAGTGGAATTTCACTTAGGATTGCAGAAAACGAGCGTTTTTCATAAATTTTAGAATTGGGATACTATTAGTATCAAGATTATGGTTAGGGTTCCAGCCGTGGCTAGGGTTAAAGTGAAGGAGAAGAAAATGAGGCTCAAACTGAAGGTAAATTTTAGAATAAGCCTGGTAAGAATTAGAATGAATGTGAACTAGAGTATTGCTATTAATATTAGAATCTACTTACAATTAGGCTTATGGTTATTGTCAATGTTCCACTTAAGATTAAGTTAGGGTTAGAAAATGACTAAGATATTTGAAAAAAATGAAACCTATTTTTGGAAGGCTTATTTGAATCAAGTTAGGATGAGTGAAAACTAGTGTACTTGTGTTAGTGTTAGTATTGTCATACAATTAGGATTAAGATTAAGGTCAGTATTTTGGTCTGATTATGATGACTGTTATGAATAAGAAAGTTTTTAGTATAAAATTCAGTTCTCACTAACAGTAGAAGCAAAAATATGAGACTGAATAGTAACTAGAGCATTATCATTATATTTATTTCTCAGTGACCATTCTTGTAATGATTAATGAGTTTTCCAGCCAGGTTTAGGTTGAGAGTTAGCATTAAGTAATGGACTAGAGGGTAAGTAAATCTGAAAATGTTTTAGGGTACAGGGTTTGTGGAAAAGTAGGATGAATGGAAACTACAAAATTTTTCCTGATAAGAGAATTTGAGGACAAGTAATATAATCGTTCATGATAGAGAACAAGATAACTTCAGAGGTAGAGTCAGAAAATTTGTGGGAATTAGGGCATACTGAAACTTATTTCCAGAGTGCAAACCGGAGTATTCATTAGTATGATTAAAAACTAGTCTTTTTCTTAAACATTAGAATTGGACTATCATGAGGGTGAAAGTTAGGTTTCAGTTCCAGCTGGGGTTAGTGTAAGCATTAGAGAAATGGAAAGTTAGGGTACAACTGGAAGTAAATTTTCGAATAACAAGTCGAGTTAGAATTAGGATGAATGTGAAATAGGAAACGGCTAATAATATTAAGATTAGGGTATGATTAGTGTGAGGGTTAACCTGAATATTCCAGTTAGAGTTAGGGTTACAAAAATGGAAAGATAATGAGCAAAACTACAAACTATTTTAAGAAAGATAAGTTGAATCAAAGTTAGGATGAATAAAAACTAATGTATTTGTGTGGCTTTTAAAATCCAAAGCACATTAGTTCCAGTGTTAGGGTTACTTTTCTAATTCAGGTTAAGCTTAAGGTTAGGGAAGGGTAAGCTTTAAAGTAAAACTGAATTTTTTGTTAACATTTTCAAGTAAAATATGTTTGAAATTTAACAAAAACTACAGAGTTTCTCTAAGTTTCCTATGCAGGGTTCAATGGGGTTAAATTTAGAGTTAGGTTTCTAGTAAGGTTTAGATATATAGTAAGGGTTAGGAACTAGAGTAGATTTTAAGTAAACCTGCGACTTCTTTTTGGAGATATAGGAGTTCTGTACAAGTTAAGATTAGTGGAAACTATGGTATTTTTGATGATATGAGGATTTGAGGTTAATGATTCATAATAGGGAACAAGATAGATTTCAGAGTCCAAGTCTAGGAATCTGTAGTATTTGGAGCAAACTGCAAATCATTTCAAAGACAATGGGTATCTGTAAGGATGTATCTAAACTCGAGTATTTTCCATTAATTTTAGGATTGGGTTACTATTATCATGAAGGTTACTCTTAGGGTTCTGACCAGGATTAGAGTTAGGATTAGGGAAATTGAAGGTTGAGAACTTGAGTGACTTATTTCCCTTGTGTATGTATATGCACTATTCTAAGGCTTGAACTCAAGGCTTGGGTTCTGTTCCTGAGCTTTTTGCTGTAGGCTACGAGCCACGAATACACTTCCAGCTTTCTTTGGCAGTAAATTGGAGATGAGAATCTCACAGACTTTCCTATCTGAGCTGACATTGAAGTGAGATCTCCAGATCCCTGCCTTCTCATTGAAGTTAGGATCAAAACCATAGGTCCCGTCCGTAGTTTCCCTTACTTGCAGTAACTAGTACATGGTATCATATGACCATATAAGATGATGTTAAGTAAAATGAACCCCAAGATATGGACACAAATGAGTTTTTATTCCATGAGATTCTTATCTCTATAAAATCCCCCAAATAAAGTTGGAAGGGGAGCTGTGGTTCAAGTATAGAACACCATCCTTTAGGGAAAAAGCTTAAGTGAGAAGGTAAGGTCCTGAGTTTAAACCACAATATTAGCACTCAAAAAAGTTGATTTCTTTTCCTTGAAGTTTTTATTAAATTGCTCAGAAAATAATAAACATTGAATTTATGTTTAGCATTACTATGAAAATCATGTTATATTTATTGATGTTATTCTTTATTTTCCTAAATTTTATTTACACATTAATATCCAGTAATGGAAAGAGACGATTAGTGTTTCACAATTTTTTATGGCAGTTGAATATATGGATGAGAGATGCTTACAAGGAATTTGGACTGAAATAGATATGTGCAAGCTCTTCATATAAATAAATGATAGTTGAAGAACCTGTGGCCCTGTATGAAATAAAATAAAGAAATCAGCAAGGAAAGATAAGGTATGATTCTGGAGATCACACAATTTTGGAAGATAAAAAAACAAGGAAAATATTTAGCTTTTTGTGTGTTCTTTGTAACCCACAGACACAATTTATTCCTTATTTCTACTGTAAGGCATTTCAGTTAACTTTATTTTACAAAGTTAAACATGATTGGCATTTAATACTAACTGGCTTCTGTCACAGGTGAGCAATTATTCTAGCCAGGTGCTAGGGGTTCATGCCTATAATCCTAGCTACTCTGAGGGCTGAGATGTCTAGAGCCTAGTTCAAAGCCAGGTTGGAGAGGAAAGTTGTTGAGACTTTTCTGTTCAATTAACCACAAAAAAAACTGAAAGTGGCACTGTGGCTCAAAGTGGCAGCACTAGCCTCGAGTAATAAATTTCAGATACAGAACCCAAGTCCAGAGTTCAAGTTCTCTGAAATATTCTTAAAATACTTGTTCTCAGGATTTCTTTAACTTGTGTAGAAGAATGTTTTAAACTTAAGGATTTTTTATTTCATGTTGTCAGCATTGATTTTTAAGATGTGCAGAGAAAAATAATTTAAAGTCAGAACTGGTTTGAATTGCTTTTATTACACATTGCCTCTACACCCAGAGATCAGCTGGAAAGCAGATGGCCAAATCCTAGCTGTTAGCAATGAATATGGATATGTGTTTCTTTGAGCAGATAAACAAACTTTTGTAATGGTAGCCTATAACACCTTAATTGTAATAATAAAATTAATATTATTACTATTATTATTTTTTGTCTGCTGTGGGGCTTGAATTCTGGGTCTAGGCATTGTCCTTCAGCTCTTCAGCTCAAGGCTAGCACTCTAACACTTGAGCAACAGTGCCACTTCACATTTTCTGAACCTTCAGTTGGAGATAAGGGTCCCACAGACTTTCCTGCTTGCGCTGGCTTTGAACAGAGACCCTCGGTTATCAGCCTCCTTAGTAGCAAGGATTACAGGTGTGAGCCACTGGCAGCCAGCAGTAAAATTATTTTGAAAAAGAAAAACCCATGATTCTATCTTTAAAAAGTTACAATCTGGCAAGTGTATCTGTAACATTAGTTGTATCAAGTAACCATAGGCAGCAATCATTTTTAGATCTCACTATGTCCTGTCCAATGCCAGATAAAATATCATTAATTTACTTTTTCCTAACCAAGTTCATGATGAATTCTCAGCACCACAATTTTCTAGTGAGTAAAAAGAATTCTTCAACATATTTATTTCAACAAACAGCATTTTGCACTTGTTTTTTTTTTTTTAATTTTGCCAGCCCTGGGGCTTGAAATCAGGGCCTGGGCACTCTCCCTGAGTTTCTTTTGCTCAAGGTTAGCACATTACCAATTGAGCCACAGCACCACTTCCAATTTTTCTGCTTATGTCATACTGAGGAATCAAATTAAGTGCGTCATGCATGCGAGGCCAGCACTCTACCACTAATCACATTCGCAGTCATTGGGTCTTTTGTTGTTGTTGTTGTTTTAAAATAGCATTTTACTATGTGTCCTTCTGTTGGCCTAAAACTTAGGCTGGTCTCAAGCTAACTTCTAAATCAGCCTCCCAAGTTCAGAGATTACAAACATTGACCACCATAGTCAGCTCAAGATTCTTTGTGAGAGAATACTCTTTTCAGATATAGAAAGAGTTATTCTGTCTTCCTTGGACTGGATGCTTTTTGCATTCTGCACTGTTAATCACATTTCTTGTCCTGTTATGTTCCCCCTTCTAGATCAATTGAAATATTTCAGGTTCTGAACTTGAAGCTGATCCCTGCCATCCAACAACACCACATTCTTGTGGATAGCACTAGCTGGCCTCATGAGCATAGCAGCCAGCTGGAGCTTAGCTATCTGATGGCCTTCAACTTCAACAATGCAATCATTTCTGTGCACAGACTGAAAACTGTCATAGGTAAGTTTGATTTATTCCAGCCTATTCTCAGCTACTTGCCATTCTCAGCTTTGTATGCTTTAAATTCTGTTTAACATTCATTACTATTTCCCACCATTATCAAATGTAACATATATGAATTACTTTAAAATTTATCCAAACATGCAAAAATGTTAACGTAGTTGCTGTCCACCAGTGGCTCATGTTTGAAAACCTAGCTACTTTAGAGGTCAAAAACTGAGCATCTTGGGTTAAAGCAGCCCAAAATCCAGAAGTGGAGATGTGGCTCAAGTGGTAGAGTGTCAGCTTTGAGCAAAAAGACTAACCAAGTATAATTGGTCTACTTTGGACTCACTCATGGAAAATACACACACACACACACACACACACACACACACACACATACACACAATGTACATTCTCCTAGACTCCCCTTCTTGAGCAGTATTCAATGCCATTAACTTAATGCACGTTTTCCAAATTATTATGGTAGGGGTTAAACTACATTTGTATTTATGACAAGGCATTTTTTGTATTTTTTCTTTTTCATTTTTTTGGTACTTATGTGATAAAACAGTGTTTTGTGAAGACTAAACAGAAATCAATGTGTCAGTAAATAGATAGGTGACAGACTGAAATATGCAGATAATATCACTTGAAATTTTATTTCTCCAAATTTAAATATATATACATATGTATGTATTTAAAATTTCTGCCAAGATTTTATTTCCATTAACAAAGATCTATTTGTTCCATTATATAAATTTAACATGTTGTATATTTCATAGTAGATTTATATTTATAGAATTTCTTAACTTTGGAGACAAGGTTCTGCAGTGTAGACCAGGCTTTCTTCAACTCCTAATTCTCCTGTGTCGGGTTCCTGAGTATTGGCTGGCATTACCATGTGGTAGCATAGTACCATGTCCAGCTATATTATTTATATTTTGTAGAGTAGAATATTAATGTGAACAGCTTTAAGCCACATATCTTCATGAGCATGAATGAATTCCTTGCAGAAAATGTTAAAATAGAGTTACTGAGTAAAGCCAATGATGGTAGACATGCCTGTAATCCCAGCACCAAGGAGGATTGTAAGCTTTAGAGCAGCCTGAGCTACACAGTAAGTCCCATTTAAAACAAAACAACACTAGTGCACATGGAAAGCTGTGCAAACTGCCTCAGTTTAATTATGAAGAATAACTCATGAGACAAAGAGTATGGTCATTTAATATTATTTAAATAATAGTTATAATATTAAAGATGAACTATTGGTAAGTCTTCATATTTCCTGTTTGTATCCTTCTTTTTTCTTGCATATATTTTTCTTTTTCTTTTTTTTATTGTGAAAATACCGTACAGAGGGGTTACAATTACATGAGCAAGGTAATGAGTACATTTCTTTTTTTTTTTCTTTTTCTTTTTTATACAATGAGCAAAGAGTGGAATTTTCTAGATATTGTGAGCAAAGCATGATTGAGTAGGGATCTTTATTTATTCCTTTCTGATCCAGGAATATGTGTTTCATGTGTAAGCAATAGTTCTAACTTAATATAATAAGGAATTAAACATTTCATTCTTTTTTTTTTTTTTGGTTGGTCATGGGGCCTAAACTGTGGGCCTGGGTACTGTCGTTCAGCTCTTCAGCTCAAGGATAGTACTCTACCACTTGAGCCACAGTGCAACTTCTGGCTTTTATTTCTGCTTATGTGGTGCTGAGGAATCCAACCTAGGGCCTCATGCATACAAGGCAAGCAAACTAACACTGAGTCACCTTCATAGCCCATAAAAATTTAATTCTTTTTCTTTAATTTTAATTTGTATTTTTATTTTTTGTGAACATACTGTACAGAGGGGTTACAATTACATGGGCAAGATAATGAGTACATTTCTTATCAAGAATTGCAGCCTCCTCCTTTGTTTACCCTTCACATCTCGTACAAGCCTCCCCTGGCCCCCCACTCAATCCTCCCCTCCTCCTCCCACCAAAGTTGTAAAGTTCGTTTTCGACATGACAACATGTACTTCTCATTGTTGCAACGGGTCTGCCTGTATCCTTAAACGACTTGTTTTTCCCCATATCCTCCACAAATTATACCTACATCAAATATAGTGAAAGCAGGGGTTATACTGTGGGGGAGGAACATACAAAACAACAAAGAAATAATCTTATAAATGCGTGAGAATCAAATGCATGAAAGAAAAAAAAACATTTAAATACATAACTAAGGGCTCATTTTCCTAACATCACATTATCTGAACTTTTCTGCTTGACTCATACATATACTAGATATTGCAAATAAAGGAAACCATGTGGACCTATGTTTCTTTGGGCCTGGCTTACTTCACTTAATATAATTTTGTCCAAGCCTTCCCATTTCCTAACAAAATGGGCAATGTCACTCTTTCTGATGGAGGCATAGAATTCCATTGTGTATATATACCACATTTTCTTGATCCATTCCTCTACTGAGGGTGATCTGGGTTGGTTCCATATCTTAGCTATGGTAAATAATGCTGGAATAAACATAGTTGTGCTGGTAGCTTTAGTGTGGTCTTGTTTGTAAGCATTTAGGTAAATGCCCAAAAGTGGGATTGCTGGGTCATAGGGGAGCTCTATATGAAGTCTTTTGAGGAACCTCCATACTGCTTTCCAAAGTGGTTGAACAAGTTTACACTCCCACCAACAATGAAGTAAGGTTCCCTTCTGTCCACATTCCCTCCAGCATCTGTTGTTAGAATTCTTGATTTTTGCCATTCTAATTGTGGTGAGGTGGTACCTTAATATTGTTTTGATTTGCAATTATTTTATGGCTAGGGAGGTTGAACATTTCTTCATGTGTCTATTGGCCATCCTTCTTTCTTCTTCAGAGAAGTTTCTCTTCAAGTCTTTAGCCCACTTATTTATTGGGCAGTTGTTTCTTTGAGGATTTGTTGTTGGGGGATTTAATTTTTGAGTTCCAAGTATATTTTAGATATGAGACCCTTGTCCGTTGTATGGCTAGTGAAGACCTTCTCCCAATCCGTGGGTTTTCTATTGATCTTGTTAGCTATGCTCTTTGCCATGCAGAAGCTGTGGAACTTCATGCCATCCCATTTGTCCAACCCTTCTTTGATTTGTTGTATTTCCGAGTCTCTATTAAGAAAAATTTGGCTTGAGCCAAGGAGACCTAGGGTTTCTCCTATTCCATCCTGTAATGTTTTCAGAGTGTCTGCTTTGTCTCTGATGTCTTTGATCCATCCGGAGTTGGTTGTGGTGCTGGGTGATATATAAGGATCTAGCTTTAGTTTTCTACAAGTAGTTAACCAATTTTGCCAGCAACATTTACTGAAGAGGCTGTCTGTCTTCCATTCTATTATTTTAACTCCCTTATCAAAGATTAGTTGACTATAGGTCTGTAGGTTCATTTCTGGGTTTTCAATTCTGTTCCATTGGTCTTGAGGTCTGTTCCTATGCCAGTACCAAGCTCTTTTGATTCCTATGGCTTTACAGTAGAGTTTGACATATGGTATTGATATTCCTCCAGCAGTGTTCTTTCCGTTGAGGAGCGTTTTTGCTATTCGGGGTCTTTTATTGTTCCATATGAATTTTTGGATTGCCTCTTGTATTTCCTTGAAGAATGAGGTTGAAATTTTGATAGGTATCACGTTCAATTTGTAGATAGCCTTGGGAAGTATTACCATTTTCACGATGTTGATCTTTCCAGTCCAGGAGCATAGGAGGGTTTGCCATTTTCTATTTTCTGTTTTGATTTCCTTTTTCAAGATTTTAAACTTTTCATCATAGAGGTCCTTCACTTCTTGGGTTAAGTTAATTCCTAGGTATTTTATTTTTTGAGGTGCTATTACAAATGGAGTTGTTTTCCTAATTTCAGCCACACTTTTCTCAGTGTTGGCATACAGAAAAGCCACTGATTTTGGAGGGTTAATTTCATACCCTGCTAATTTACCAAAGTTTTGAATCAGCTTGAATAATTTGGGAGTGGAGTCTATGGGATTCTTTAAATAAAAGATCATGTCATCTGTAAAGAGGGAGAGTTTTATTTCTTCTTTCCCTATTTGGATCACCTTTATGTCTGCATCTTGTCTTATTGCTGTAGCTAGGTATTCTAATACTAAATTGAAGAGAAATGGAGAGAGTGGACATCTTTGACTTGTTCCTGAGTTAAGACGAAATGGCTTTAGTTTTCCACCATTAAGTATAATGCTGGCTGTAGGTTTGTCATATGCAGCCTTTATTGATTGAGGAATGTTCCATGGATTCCTAATTTTTCCAAAATCTTCATCATGAAGGGGTGTTGCATCTTGTCGAATGCTTTTTCTGCATCTATTGAGATAACCATGTGGTTCTTATCCTTACTGCTGTTTTTGCGATGAATAATATTAATTGATTTACATATATTGAACCAGCTTTGCATCCCTGAAATGAATCCTGTTTGCTCGTGGAGTATGATTTTTTGGATGAATTATTGAAGTCGATTGGCCAAAATTTTGTTGAGAAATTTTGTATCAATGTTCATCAAAGAAATGGGTCTATAGTTCTCTTTCTTTGATGGGTCCCTGCCTGGTTTGGGGATGAGGGTTATGATGGCTTCATAGAATGAGAACAGTTGTGAACTTTTGAAATCTCTTTCACTTTCATTGAAGAGTTGGAGGAGTATTGCTGTGAGTTCTGCTTTGAAGGCCTTGTAGAATTCCGCTGTAAAACCATTTGGTCCTGGACTTTTCTTAGCTGGGAGGTCTCTTATTGCTGTTTCCATTTCAATGCTTCATATGGGCCTGTTAAAATGTTTTAACTCATCTTGGTTTAGTTTTGGCATGTCAATATTTGCTAGGAAAAGGTCCGTTTCTGTCAAGTTCTCAAACTTATTAGCATAAAGTTTTGAGAAGTATTCCCTTATATTGTTCTGAATCTTGGATGTTTCCGTGGTGATGTTTCCATTCTCATCTCTGAGTTTATGTATTTGGGTGTGTTCTCTTCTTTTTCTGATAAGATTTGCTAAGGGTCTGTCAATTTTGTTAATTTTATTGAAGAACCAACTCTTTGTTTTGTTGATTCTTTGTATAGATTTTTGGATTCCAATTCATTTAACTCTGATTTAATTTTAATTTTCCTTTCCATCTACTGGATTGGAGTTTACCTTGCTGCTCTTTTTGAAGGAGGTTTAGATGTGTCATTAAATTGTTGGTTTCAGATCTTTCCAATTTGTTGATGTTGGTGCTCAGATCAATAAACTTGCCTCTGAGTACTGCCTTTGCTGTGTCCCAGAGGAGCTGGTAATTTGTGTGCTCATTTTTGTTGAATAGCATGAACATTTGAATTTCCTTTCTAATCTCTTCCATGACCCACTCGTGATTCAGTAGTGTGTTGTTCAGCCTCCATGTGTTACCAGACTTTCTTTGGTGGCTTTTGGTGTTGAGTTCTAATTTTATTCCCTTGTGGTCAGAGAGAATGCAAGGTATAACTTCAATGTTTCTGAATTTAGACAAGTTTGCTTTGTGGCCTAAAATGTGGTCTATTTTAGAAAATGTGCCATGTGCTGCTGAGAAAAACGTGTATTCTGATGCTGTTGGGTGAAATATTCGGTAGATGTCTGTTAAATCTAGTTGATCTATGCAGCTGTTTAGATCTGTGGTTTGCCTGTTGAGTTTTTGCCGAGTTGATCTATCTAGTGGGGAGAGTGGTGTGTTAAAATCCCCAACAATTAATATCTTTGGATCTATATGGGATTTGAGGGAAAGTAGTGTTTCTTGGATAAATTTGGGTGCTCTGTAGTTTGGCGAATAGATATTTAGAATTGTAATATCCTCCTGAAGGAGTGATCCCATAATTAGTATGTAGCGACCTTCTTTATCTCTTCTCATGAGTTTTAATTTGAAGTCTATTTTATCTGATATTAGGATTGCAACTCCCGCCTGTTTATGGGGGCCGTTTGCTTGGTAGATTTTGCTCCAGCCTTTAACATTGAAAATGAGTTTGTTTTTACGGGCAAGATGTGACTCCTAAAGGCACTAGATAGAAGGATCTTGTTTTTTAATCCAACTAGACAGTCTATGTCGCTTATTGGAGAGTTAAGTCCGTTAATGATGATAGAAAGGACTGAGTGGTATTTGGGAGTTCCTGCCATGTTATTCACCTTCTTGGGTGCTGCGAAAACTGGGTTCTTCCTATAGTTCTTGGATTCTCAGTTTGGGTGCAGTTTCTTGGCCTTTATTGTGGTTTGTTGGTTTTCAATGTGTAGGACATCTTTAAGAATCTTTTGTACGGCTGGTTTGGTGGAGATGTATTGTTTCAATTTTTCTTTGCTATGGAAAATTCTTATTTGGCCTTCAGTTATGAAGGAGAGTTTAGCTGGGTACAGTATTCTTGGTTGATAGTTGTTTGTTTTTAGGGCATGGCATACATGATTCCAGGCTCTTCTTGCTTTGATTGTCTCTGCAGAAATTTCTGAGGTGATTCTAATTGGTCTCCCTTTATAGATGATTAATGTTTTATCCTTGACAGCTTTATGAAATTTTTCCTTTTTCTGAGTTGATCCTGTGTAGATTATAATGTGATGGTGGGATGTCCTATTCTGGTCTGGTGGAGTTCTAAAGGTTCTTGTATCTGAATAGGCCTATCTTTTTGCATGTTTGGGAAGTTCTCTGCTAGGATCCTGTTAAACAAATTTCCTAGTCCATTAACTTCTGTTTCTAGGTTCTCCTCTACACCCATTATCCTTAGATTAGGCTTTCTGATGGTGTCTTCCAGGTGTTGGATAGATCTGTCATATTTGTTGGACTTGTCTTAGATGGTTGTATGTTCTTTCTCTATAATATCTAGGCTGTCTTCAATCCCCGAGATTCGATCTTCTGCATGGTCTAACCTGCTTTCAAGACTTTCTCCTTTTTTTTATTTCTTTTCCTTCTAGTTGGTCAGCTTTGATGACATCAAATTCTTTGTTGAAGCTTTGTTTTAGATCTTGTATGAACTTCTTTACTTCCTTAAATTGGTGTTCAGTGTTTATTCTCAAATCACTTAGTTGTTTGGTTATGGTTTCCTTGGACTCCCATTGCTTCTGTTGGGCTCCATTCAGCCTTGCCTTTGTGGTCTCCCTGACTTCCTTCAGCTGTTTGTTAATGGAACCCATGAATGCCTTTAGTAATCTTTGTGTATTCTCATCCTGCTCTCTCAATTTCTGTATTACTCTTTCCTTATCTTCCTCCCGTTCATGTCATTCCTGTAGTTCTCTTTGAGTGTTCTCAGCCTGCTCATGCCATTCCTGACTTTCTCTTGGAGTATTCTCACGCTGCTCATGCAAATCCTGTATCAGTTTTTGAGTAGCTTCCTCACGCTTATGATATTCCTGTATAAACCTTTGTATTGCCTCCTCTCTCTCCCTCTCATGCTCATACAGAGTCTTTTGTAGGTTTTCAATGTTTTCCTACATTGACATTTTGTTTGCCTCCTCTCTCTCCCTATCACGCTCATACAGAGTAGTTTGTATGTTTTCAATCCTTTTATTTGTATGTTTGCCAGCAGGTAATATAATGAGAGAAGGGGAGAGATATAAGGAAGATGTTAAAGACTTAAAAATAAAAATACTTAAAATATTATAGGTATAAAGAGGTAGTACTGTTATTAAGGAATTTAAGTCTCAGAGGTTTTGAATTGAGTAATAAATTTGTGGATTAAGTGTGTACATAAAGGGGGATAGGGTCTAATAGTCAACTACGGGTTTATCTGAGGATGTGCAGAATAACAATTAAGTCACATGAAGAAGAATGAAAGAGAAGAAAAGGTAAAAAGGATAAGGAAGAAAGAAAAAAAGATCAGAAGCTCAGTAGAGCTAAACAAAAAACAAAAAGAATTTTTTTAATAAAAAGAAAGAAAAAAAAAGAAAGAAAAATGCGCACACACATGTGTCCCTAAAATAAAGTTTATAAGAGGAAAAAAGTTACTAGAAAACAATTTTTTTCAAAAAAGGTAAAAATTAAAAAAAGTTTTAGAAAAGAAAAAAAATTTATAAAAGGTATAAAAATAAAAAAAGATGAAGGAAAAAAAAGTTCTTTGATTTTTTTGGGAGGGTTGGGAAAAATCCTGTATCTCCCTTGTGTCTGTAATCAGTCTCTTGTTGGAGTCTCTGGTCTACTTGCGGTCCTGTGGCTTGGTTGGTTTCTTAAGTCAGTTTGTGTTGGACAGGCAGAAAAATGCTCTCCTTTACCCAGGATTTTGCGATCCTCCTCCCAGTTTAGTTCAATGGGAGAGAGATCAGCTTTGAGTATCTCAAAATGATGGAGATGGCTTTTTCCTCATGTTTGGAGATGCTGTGATGAGGCTAGGTTCTGGGTAGAGTTGAGGCCTTTCAGCAAACAGTAGATTTTCCCGGGGGGCTGGTTTGTGAGAAACTCACAGAGCCCAGCCTGGAGCCACTCTCAGGGTTTATGTTTAACTGAATTTCAACTGATTGTCAAGGTTGCTAAAGGGAGGGGCAGCCTCTGGCTCTGATTACCCCGTGAAGAAAGCCACTCCTAGGACTGGTACCCGAGGCTGTGTGACTTTTCCCTGGGTAGAACTGAGTCTGGCAGATCAGGTTAGGCTCTTGTGACCTGCTAAATGACTCTAGATTTCTTCCAATTCCTGAGTTGGAGCTAGCAGCTCCACTGAGCTTTGTCAGTATCCAAGATGGAGATCTCCGGTACTGGGGGGGGTGGCCTTCCCTCCTCTGCTCCCTGAGAAGGAGTGAGGGACGTCAGGCTTCTACTCACGCCGAGTCTTGGTTCCTGGGTCATCTCTGTTCTGCGAAGTGCAGGATGAAAATGTCTCGCTCCTTTTCGGTTCTTGCTGGTGTTGAGTAGAATCCGCTCACCTGCTGTGTCTGGCTCCTTCGTCCAGGACTCTCTGTGATTCAGGTATGGCGGCAGTAGTTGCCGCTACCACCGCTGCCGCTGCAGCAGTGGCGGCGGCTGGCAAAAACTCAGATCTGTCTCCTTGCCTGGATTTTCCCTCTCTGTCCTAACTCTATGTCCTGTGAAGGCACACTTGATGTGATTCTCTGGCTTAAGACTGTTCACTGGAACTCTAAAACTGCTTTCTATGCGAGAGCTTGTTTAGCCTCCAGCTTCTCCTCCACCATCTTCCTGGAACTCCCCTCTAAAACATTTCAATCTTAAGAAATGATTTGTTGACAAAGAAAGATCTTTCCCTTTGTTCTGAAATACACACTTCTCCAAAGTTTCCTTGTTTGATTCAGTGAAAGAACTAACTTTTCCATGGACTTTTCCAAGTTAACCAGGGTTCACAAATTTCCTCAATATTCTTTCATCATGTGATGAATGCTTTTTACTTTACAACTGTATCCATCAGTGGCAAAGAACATGTAGGCAAGTCAAAAACTGGAACTGGACTTCAGGCTTGTCCATCAAACTAGTGCCAGCACTATACAGTGGTCAAGTAATTGCCTCTCTTCCAAATTTAGTGTCACTGTTCAAAAGAGAGAATAAGTCATTCCTTTTTATAGGCTGAGTATTGTATTTGTGATGGCTGTACAGTAAACAGTTGTAATAGCTGGTAATGAGAATTTTTCTTGACATCATAGCGGGGGGAGGATGGGATGGGAAGGGGAAACAAAAGAGGAGGCTACAATGTTTGATAAGAAATGTACTCATTATATTGCCCATGTAATTGTAACCCCTCTGTACAGTATTTTCACAATAAAAATTAAAAATTAAAAAAAAATAAAACAAAACAACAACAACTGTTGAGCTTTGAAGAGGGAAAGTATTGTTAAGTGGGATGATAGGAACATACAAAATTTAGTGTGTTTGTGTGTGTGTGTGTTTGGTTGTGCTGGTCCTTGGGCTTGAACTCAGGACTTGGGCACTGTTCGAGTTTTATGATCAAGTCTAGCACTCATACCACCTTGGACCAAACTCCACCTCAAGCTTCTTTAGAAGTCATTGGAGATGAGTCTGATCCAGTTTCCTGTTCAGGCTTAGAACCTTGATCTCTTTCTCAGCCTCTTTTGTGAATAAGATTACAGGTGTGAGTCTGTAGTAGTTATATTACTGTTAAGTAATATAGTAAAACATCATGCCAGTTTATACTCCTTCCAGCAGTGTTTGTGTGTTGCACACACACCTAAGATAAAACCCACTCCATATTTGATGACATCCAGATTGCATAATGCCGTGAGATACATATTGTTATGCTCACTTAACCTATGAAGAATTTGAGCTCCAGAGAGTTTAGTTAATTTTGAGTCCCCATCTAGTATACAGTGGAGCCTGTATCCAAGCTCAACTAGGTCTGTTTATTTCAGAATACAGGGAGTCATCATCTGTTCTAGTCAACATGTTTTCTAGCAAGTACTTCTGGTTGCAAGTACAGTTCTTTTTTTATTGTGAGAATACCGTACAGAGGAGTTACAATTACATGGGCAAGATAATGAGTACATTTTTTATCAAGCATTGTTGCCTCCTCATTGTTTCCCCTTTGCAAGTACAGTTCTGTGCCTGACAGATTACCTTTCTCTCTCTTTAACTGTTTGTACCCACTTTCATAACCTAGGGAAGCACAAGTGATGAGAATAGCTATTTTTGAAGGGAAAATTGATAATGGGTTTGAACTTGGTATCACATGCATATTAGTCAGATCTTCCATTTGAGTTATGCCTCCAGCACAATATTTCTGTTTTTTTCTTTGTATTATTATTATACAGGTGAGTTACACAGAGGTTACAGTCATATAATTCAGGTCTGGATATATTTCTTTTTAAAAATGTCACTCCTCTTGCTCTCTCAATTTTTCTCTCACTGGTTGGTTTTATTAATTTCTTCCTCTTCCTCCCTCCCCTCCTCCCCCTCCTCCCCCTCCTCCTCCCCTCCTCCCCCCTCCTCCCCCTCCTCTCCGTCCTCCCCCTTCTCCTCCCCCCTCCTCCCCCTCCTCCTCCTCCACCTCCTCCTTCTCCTCCTCCTCCTCCTCTCCCCTCCTCCCCCTCCTCCCCCTCCTCCTCCTCCCTCCTCCTCCTCCTCCTCCGCCTCCTCCTCCTCCTCCTCCTCCTCCTCCTCCTTCTCCTCCTCCTCCTCCTCCTCCTCCTCCTCCCGCCTCCTCCTCCTCCTCCTCCTCCTCCTCTCCGCCTCCTCCTCCTCCTCCTCCTCCTCCTCCTCCTTCTCCTCCTCCTCCTTCTCCTCCTCCTCCTCCTCCTCCTCCTCCTCCGCCTCCTCCTCTCCTCCTCCTCCTCCTCCTCCGCCTCCTCCTCCTCCTCCTCCTCCTCCTCCTCCGCCTCTCCTCCTCCTCCTCTCCTCCTCCTCCTCCTTCCTCCTCCTCCTCATCCTCCTCCTCCTCCTCCTCCGCCTCCTCCTCCTCCTCCTCCTCCTCCTCCTTCTCCTCCTCATTCTCCTCCTCCTCCTCCCTCCTCCTCCTCCTCCTCCCTCCTCCTCTCCTCCTCCTCCTCCTCCTCCTCTTCCTCTTCCTTCTTCTTCTTCTTCTTCTTCTTCTTCTTCTTCTTTCTTCTTCTTCTTTTCTTCTTCTTCTTCTTCTTCTTCTTCTTCTTCTTCTTCTTCTTCTTCTTCTTCTTCTTCTTCTTCCTCCTGCTACTCTTCCTCTTCCTCTTTTTCTTCTTATTATTGAGATTTAGAAGGAATAGCTACATACGTGTGGCAATGATTACATTTCTTTTGTCTTTGTTTTTTGGTTCAGTCAGTAATAAGGCTTGAACCCAGGGCCTAAACACTGTCTCTGAGCTCTTTTGCTGAAGAATGGCACTCATATTGAGCCACAGCTCTCCTTCCCTTAGTGCATTTCTTTTTGGACAATGTTAACCTTTCCGTTCATCTCTTCCAGTTTTCCCATCCTTCTCCACAAACAAGTTGCATAGGTCATTTTCCAGCATAGTACAAATTGAATATCACTGTTGCACATGTTCATCGTTTGTCTCTCCTTTTGGAAAGACCCCTTTAACTTCGCAAAGAGAGATTAATGAAGAAAACTGACAAAAATGAAAGAAAATAAAGAAAAATATCTTGTTTCTGTTTCCTGGCCACTGGTTATTTTTGAGATAATGTGTGTGTGGTGTGTGTGTGTGTGTGCGTAAATACTTGAGCTTGAACTCAGGGAGCTGACCTTTAGCTTTTTAACTCAAGGGTAACAGTCTATGACTTGAACCAAACTTCCACTTCTTGATTTTGAATGGTTAATTGGAGATCAAAATTTCACAGATTTTTCCTACTTGTTCTAGCTATAATCCAATTTCCTCAGATCTGAGCTTTATAAATAGCTAGTTACAGGTGGGAACCACTGGTGATCGCTTGACCTACCTTCCTTTTGTTAAGTAGTTGAAATGTAAAAGTCAGTTGCAACCATAGTAAAAAAGAAATCCATTTAACTTTCCCAGCTTCATTAAGTTTTAAAACTTTGTCACATTTGATATGGACAGAAAAACATTTTTTGTAAATGCTCCTGCAATTTGGTTTGCGTCTGGGTTTTTTCCCTCATGATGATCTTGATATTTTTTTTAGCTTTTTACCTACTAAATATTGATGACAATATGTCCAGAGGGCATTATGACCTTTTTCTGACTCTCATAAGGAAATGGTGCAAGCTAACACTTGTAATATATTTGTGTGCAGGACCCCATTGATATATCCACATTCTTAGCCAGAAGACAGTAGTGCCTGTTACAAATCATGTAGCTCTGGCAAAACACTGACTCAGGCCTTGTTACCACCTTCCTGTAGGTCCTCTTAGAGTGCAATCCTGACTCTTCATGACCATGACAGAGCCCTGATGGACATTCTCAGGACACAACCAAGGTCACCACTCAGGCTTGGCACCTACTACTTCCTATAATGGAACGACACAGCAATTTTTAGGTCATTAAGCTCTCATCAGTCCTGAGAGTTCCTCCTTGAACATTTGATCCTAAGAATTAAGGAGACAATAAACTCTCTCTTCCTTGTGCCAGTTGTGGAACTGTATTTCTTCAGCTGCTTACAAACTTAACATTTTTTCTAGTCTATTTATTACCCCAATATGTTTTCAAATCCTACCAAAAATTCTTATTAGTAAGAGACACTTAATTAGTAGTCACGTTCTCAAACTCCTAAGTTCCTCAGTGAGCTGTGCGAGAGAAACCACAGCAAGTGTCAGGGGTCCTCCAGACTAGCTTCTTGCCCAGGGAAGAGTGCCTCCAAATTAAACAAAGAATAATTCTTATATCTCAGATTACATGTCCAAGCTATACATACCAAAGAAAGCTAAGGACAAGAGATTAGTCTGACTTAGGAACCATGCAGATCACAAACACGAATTCTATGTTGACAGAAATGAAAAGAAATTTTCCTTTATTCATATGATACAATAAAAAGCGTAACTTTTCTCATTATCACTTAATTGTGGTTGTATGTACTCAGTACTATCTTCTTGAAAGTCCTAAAAAACCCTTTGACACAAACTCAGAAATTCCGTTGGTATCAGCTTGAGATTTTATGAAAAAAAATAATTTTTATATTTTTAAAAATATATTTTATTATAAAGATGCTGTACAGAGGGGTTACATTTACATGAGTAAATTACATTTCTCATTGAACATTGTTACCCACTCCAGTGTTTTTCTCCCTCTGTCCCTTCCCTCCACTGCTCCCCACCCACATTACATTGTAAAGTTAATTTCCGCCATGTTGTCCTGTGAGTATCATTGTTGCAATGGGTCACCATTTGTACTTCTTTCAGCATTTTGTTATTTCCCTTCCCTTCCCTCAATCAGATAAATGAATATACAAGATGCAGGGTACCAGAATCAAAGACTGGAATTGTGATAGATAAAACCAATAGGAAAAGAAAAATCACATAAAGTAAGAAGAAAGAGCTAGCTGTGGTACATTGGCTACATCAAGCTTGACAACTAAACAAAAGACCTGGCATTCATTTCAGTTAGCATCATTTTCTCTGATCTTATATATATATATATATATATATATATATTCATAACTCCTGAGCTATTATAATCCACTTTCAGGAGTAACAGGTTAATGCTAATCATTGCAAATGAGGGAAATCATAGAGCTCTTGTTTCTTTGGGCCTGGCTTGATTAACAGTATGATTTTTTCCAAGTCTTTTCATTTTCTTACAAAAGGGACGACGTCATTCTTTCTGATAGAAGCATAAAATTCCATTGTGTAAATATACCACATTTTCTTGATCCATTTATCTATTGCAGGGCAAATGGGTTGTCTCTATATCTTAGCTATGTGTAACAATGCTGCAATGAACATAGCTGTGCTGGTAGCTTATTATGCCCTAGTTTGAAATCATTTGGATAAATGCGGAGGAGTGGGGTTGTTGGATTTTAGGGGATTTCTATGTTTCGATTTTTGAGGAACCTCCATTCTGCCTTCCAGAGTGGTTGAGCCAGCTTACATTCCTACCATCAGTGTAGTAGTGTTCCCATTTAGCCATATCCACCCCAGCAACTGTTATTATTTGTTCTCTTGTTAATGGCCATTCTAACTGGGGTGAGTGGAATCTAAATATGGTTTTGGTTTTGTTTTGCATTTCTTTTATGACCAGTAATAGTGAGCATTCCCCTTGGTTGTTTGTTTGTTATGTCATTTTAACACATGTTGAACTTAGGGTTTCCCCACCAAATCTTCAACAAACTAGCAACTATGCTGCCTCTTTGGATTTTGCTTCAAAAGTTACAAAATATTCTGACATATTTTTGGTTTGGTGTTTGGGGGTTGGCTTTTGGAGTGCTAGTGGGTCTGTACTCAGGCTTGAACTGAGGGTCTGGAGCTCTAGTTTAGATTGTTTAACTCAATGCTGTCACTGTGCCACTCGAAAAACATATCCACTTCTGGCTTTTTCTACTTAATTGAAGATAAGAATCTTGAGGATTTATTAGCTTAGGTTGGCATCAAACTGTGATCCTCAGACCTCACC